TGATATGGATGAAGAATCAACAGCACAAAATTTTCAGAACATAGGTAGGCAGGGTGACTTATCTCCTAGAGTTCTTGAAAAGGTTAAATCTGCAGCAAAGAACAAAAAGAAGCAGCAAAAAGAAACAGTTGCACCTTCAGGAGGTGTTCAGACAAGGAGGACCTTATCTAAATCATTTGCTCAATAATGGATGCTCTAATCTGGAATATAACGTCAGTCAATACCCAACAAGCTTTTGAAAGGTTGATCAAAATGCACAGGAAACATCACTATGACTTTATTGGCTTGATGGAACCTATGCAACAAACGAGAACACTGGAAAGATATAGAAGCAGAATAGGTTTTGCACAGGCAATTGCTAATGTATCAAATAAGATATGGGCTTTCATTGATGAGGTATATGAAGTTACAATAATGTATAATATGGTTCAGCAACTAACTTTAAGGCTGTTTCACACAGAAAATCATGTGGAAATAGTCCTTACACTGGTGTATGCTAAATGTGATGCCATTGAAAGGATTGAACTGTGGGATTCATTGTATTATATGGCAAATGACATGACAGTACCATGGTTAGTTGGAGGTGACTTTAATGTCATATGGGATGAAGAGGAGAAATTTGGGGGACTTCCAGTTCATATCAATGAAGTTGATGACTTCAGACATTGCATAAATACATGTAACCTGAGTGATCTTGGATTTAAGGGCAGTATCTTTACATGGTGGAATGGCAGGGCAGAAGAAGACTGTATTTTCAAGAGATTAGACAGATGTCTAGCTAATTCAGAGTTTCAGCAGACCTTCCCAGGGTTAGAAGTGCAGCATCTTCCTAAAATTGGATCAGATCATAGTCCAATGCAGTTAAAATGTGATATAGAGACCCCTCCTGTGCAGAAACCATTCAGATTAGCATGCAACATTTAAAGAGGTTGTGCAGGAAAACTGGAAGGCTGATTTCTGGGCTAATCCTTACACATTATTCAATCACAAGTTAAAGAAGTTAAAAAAGGCATTATCTGAGTGGAGCAAAAAAACATATGGAGACATTTTTCAAAAGATAGCAAGCATGGAGGAGGTGGTTATGGTTCATGAAGCAGAATTTGAAGCCAATCCTACAAGATTAAACAGGCAGAGGTTACAAAAGGTACAAGCAGAACTTACTAGATTTTTAGCTCTGGAAGAAAAATATTGGAAACAGAAGGCTGGCATGTCATGGTTTAAAGATGGTGATAGGAACACTAAGTTCTTTCATGCTCAAGTAAGAGGTAGAAGAAAGAAATTGCAACTATCCAGAATTCAAAACAGTCAAGGTGTTTGGATAGATGAGGAGGCAGCAATAGCTACAGAGGCAATTCAATTCTTCCAAGGTCAATTCTCTGAAACCACAGTACCAACAGCTTTTGAAATAATAGAGCATGTTCCTTCTTTGGTAGATTTGAATCAAAACCAGGAATTAACAAAACAGCCATCCTTAGAAGAGGTAAAAGCTGCAGTATTTGGACTAAATGGAGATAGTGCTGGAGGGCCAGATGGTTTTACAGGTAAGTTCTATCAGTCCTGTTGGGATATTATAGGGGGG